AAAAAAAAAGGGGGGGGAGGAAGAAAATTACACTTCCTCTCAACCATCTGGCAAACCAAAAGGTTCAGTGACTAGCAAAGCATGGTGCTAAGTAGTCAAAAATGGCTTAGTTGCAGACAGTACAGTGTAGCTGATCTGGGTTTTGTCTCCTAATGCCCAACTGAAGCCCACCGTCACTGCTCTGCTTGCCCTTTGTGTATGAGAGAATCACCTCCCATTTCCACAGCTTGTTTCATCCAGCAGGAACGCAAGCAATTTAAAACAGTGCTTCTCAACTCTGTTACACCAGGCTTCACTGCTATCTCTTTCTCCTTCTTCATTCCCCACCTAACACCTTCTCAGACTCTTCCTTCTGTCCTCAATCCTCAAGGACCTGTCCTTGGCAGCATCCTGCCCCCTTCCTCAAGCACTGGCTTTTCTGCATGAAACCAAGCTCATACCCAGTGGAGCTTGTTAGCTTGGGCTCCACACTGTGCTGCTCTTCACTTCTGTGTCAGTGGATCTTGCTGGAGGCACATCTCCCTCTTTGGAAAACATTGGTTTAATTTGGTCCAGAAACCTCTGTGAGTCTGATGGCTGGTTCTCAGAGATCCACTAACGGTGACCCGCTAAGACAACTCAGTTCCTACCTGCTCTGTGGCAGTGTGCAGCAATCTGTAGAGTAGTCTTATTTCTCAACATTTCTACGTATTCTGCACCCTCACTGGCAAAATTTTAGGGCTCTGTAAATCAACAAAGGTTGCAAACTGCTCTTTTAGGCTGTGACTGGGATTTTGTCCTGCCTGAGAAATGGAAGTGAGGGAGGAAAGGTGCTGCCCCCAGAGAGACTGTGGCATGCAGAAGAGAAGTTCAGTGAGCACCATGTGCTTTATGACTCCCCACAGTCAGGAAACAAGAAAACAAAAGTATACTGTTTTTGATCAGACACTTGAAGTTCCTCATCTTGTCAGCTCCCCTGAAGCAGGCCTTCCTCTCTGTGCGTGCAGATGGAGGTGCCGGTGCTGCAGCTGTGGGCTGCAGGACATCCCACAGTATCTGGCAGTGCCCTGGCTTGAATATGACTCCATACCACTGGCATCTGTCCTATGTTGATGATGTTCAAGGTTACTGACTACTCCTTTGCATTTGATACCCACTGAATTCCCCAAAGTGTCTTGCCATTTTCCCTATAAAAATACACTGAAGAACATCTTTGGGAAGGTTTAGGGATTTCCTCTTCTCTTTTTTGTTTAATTCATAAGAAAATAATTGCATAACATTACCCAAACCACAGCAAAGATACTTTCTAAAGTTGTTTTTTCTCCTTCTTTTCAGTTACCCTGAAAACACAGAAACCAACAATGAATTTTACCAACCAAAGTAAGTGTAAAGCCTATTAGCATTGTAAAATTCACTTTTTCTTCTTAACTTCAGAGAAGGATCTTTCCTGACATAGTACTGCCCTAACAAACATGTTCTGGGAGCAGCATTTGCAAGCACTTACAAAGGGAGGGGGGTGGAACCTGATGCACCAATTCAAAATGTGCTGAGATCTTTCAGCTTCTTTCCTTGCACTGGAATGAATCATTTGGATCTCTCTTTGCCCTTCAAGTCTGCTGCAGGGAAGTTACTGAGCTAAGCAGGAGGTAGGAAAAGACATAATGTTTCAAACAGGAAAATCTCATGTTTGATGTTGTTACTTTTTACTCCATGTTCCAACCTGCCAGGCTTCCTTCTGAGACTCACGAATGTCCTTCTCTTAGCAGGTCCAACTCTGGTTGCAGGGACAAAACTGCGGATGCTACAGCCAAGCTGCGCTGCCAGTACGAGATGTCTCAGTACCTGGATGATGCAAAGTCCGAACCTGCAAGGTCAGGGACTGACGCTGATATTCGTGGTGCTTCTAGCAAAGCACACATATGGGCAGGAGAATAAATAGCTTGTCTACCATAGAATTGGAAGCAGAATCCAAACTGTGCACTGAAATGAAGGAATACAGCAAATCCAGTGGCCGAACAGTGGGATCAGTATTCTTTCTGTTCAGTCTCACTCATCAACCTTTCTTCTACAGAATCAACCTCAAAGAAGATACAGCAGCTTTCTGCTATTCCATTTCTCCTTTGTTGTTACTTTTAGCATTGATCTAGCATAGTGTTCCATTCTACACGTTATTTAGAGCGTGTTTGCTCCCCTAACAATGTCAGAGGCACAGAGTCAGGACAGAATTGCCACTGTTGGCACCAAGCACGCTAATCTCCCAGAAATTTGCTTTTTTCTCTTGGTTGTTTCGGGTCTTGAGACTTGAGATGAGCAAATGATGTCTTCCTATCTCCTGACTGAGGTAAGGAGGACCACAAGGCTTCCAGTAGGATAAAGCCCGAGCCCTATAGCTGGTGCTAGTAACATAGGAACATCTTCCACAAAAGCATTCATGCTGTGCTTTGTCGCAGGAGCATGACCTGTGGCAGGACAGAAGAGTGATGCATCTGGCCAGGACTTGTGCAAATTTAAGCCAAGTAACTACATTGGTTCCACTAATATTCTCTATTTTTCTTGATTACGGATAGTGAGAATGTTTTTCTGAAGGAAAAGCAGTTTTCTGAGAAAACGATTTTCTGTCTTCTGGTCTAATATAAAATGAAGTGCTGTTATTTCATGCAATGAATCCCCTGAACACCCTCTTGGAGCACTGTAAAAGCCTTTGGCAAGCCATGAAGCTGTTGATTCCTTCCTTCGACAGGTCTGCCTTACAGTCTAATGTCTCCTGTCCTCCTACCGACAGAGCCCCTGTGCACCCAGAGGACACAGACTATTACTTTAAAAGGTAAGAGTGAGGTAAATTTAGCAGGGGTGTGAATCATGCTAAGCATTAAGGGAAATCTGAAATCCAGATGCTCTGGGCAGGCACAGAATTAAGCCTCCTTTTGGAGTTCTCGTACCAAAGATGTAGAGTAATGAAGGAATAGATCTTCTCAGATCCAGCACTTTGTCTTTATCATTCTTCCTTGCAAGCATGACTCAGGCCAGGTTTCTTTGGCTAGTACTCATAATCTGGAACAGTATTTTGGGGTAGAAAATCCTGGACAGCCTTCCACATTGCAGAGGAAAAGGCAGATCTAAAGAGAGATTTTGTGTACTGTGCCTCACAAAGCACAGCTCCAACACAGCCATTTCCCAAGCAGTTCCTTCAGAGTCTACCTCTGTACTTAGCATGCTGGAATGACTTCTTCTCTGATAGGTCCAACTCTTGTCTGAGAGTCAGCAGCACCATTACCCCAAAGGTCCAGTGGAAAACCTCCATGCACCTTAAGAAAAGGGAATTTGATCAAGAAAGGCAAGGGGAAGTGAAGCTGTGTTACGTAGTGTCATTGGATACACTGAATGAGTGGGTCTGGCTACAAGAAAACCTCCAGAATATTGCACAGGTAGTAAAACTTGAAATTTAGCCTCAGAAACGATCAAATATCATTATCAGGCACATGTCATCAGTTCTGACATACACAGTCCTGATTTACGGCCTCCATAAGTTATCCAAGATCCTACAGGTCTGCTTTCATGCTAGAAAGCAGCATGTTTGTTTAGAGTAAACACAGTTTGGACTGGTATTTTAAAGAACTAATTTTACCTTGTGCAACTGGTGCTGCTTGACTTGTCCACTGAAGTCTAAGCAGTTAAGCAGTGCTTAGTGCCTTGCTGAAGTCAGTGCTTCATTGTGCTGAATACAGCTTAGCCCTTGGAATATCCTGCACTGAAGCCCTGTGGCTTTCATACCTTTCAGTGTGCACTGAACTGAGCTGTTGTTTGTTTTCAGTACTGACAGTCGTTGCATGAGTGAGGTTTCTCCTCCTTTGCCAGGTCTACCCAAGGTTACGAAGAGGAGGACACCCCTAGAGAAAGGGGGCATGAGAGCACACGGGCCACAGATGAACATAAATCGGAGCTGCGCTCAGGAGAGTAAGTGATCCATAGAACTCACCCAAAGTAGCTATTCCCTTGATGCTTCTTCTCTTACTGTGTTCCCAATGTCACCGAGAACACAGAAGTGCTCCTCTGCTTTGCACTCGGGAGTGAGGACTTTATAACTGCACATTATACCAGTCAATCTCACCTGCACTGTTGGGGAGAGCCAGTTGGATGAGGTACACTCACCAAGAATGCAAAGTTAGTTTCTGCGCTGACAGCATAAGACATAAGTCCTTTGGCATCAGCATTGTTCCCTTGGTACTAGGGTGGCAGACTTCAGCTTCTGCTACCCAGAGATCTCACCAAGTACTATCCAGGCCTTTATGAACACTGCAAAATCCTGTATGAGGGTGTCCTGAGATGTCAGAAGCATCTATCCATCTAAGGAATTCTAGTAATGCTAATTCTGATACTTTTTCCTGTACCTAATGTTTTCGTACTGTGGCAGTCTCAGACAAATAGCCTTTAATTGTGATCCTCCAAGTTGGAATGGGATTAATACACGATTCCCATCAGATCTGGTGAGAACTGAGCATCTAAATCCCTAGGGCAGTTTTGAATAGCTCAGGCCTTGCAAACAGTGCTGCTCCCTGCCTGATGGCTCCTGTCTTAGGGAGTGGATGTCTACCCACCTCAGCACATTTTTTCTTCACTGCCTTCAGCAAAGATCTTTATTTTAGGTTTTCTGACTCAAACAACCATACTGAGAAGCGAGAAGAGCCTCCTGACCATGACACCCAAACGGAGTCTCCCAGGTCAAAGGAACACGCCGAGTATGAACAGAGCATGGCTAAGTAAAGAATGAGAGAATAACCCCCCTACCTTTGCCTGTAGGATGAGGGTTATTTTCTTGCATGTCCTCTCCCTCATCACCACGCTAATAAAACCTTCTCCCATGTTGCTCCCGTATGCCTGATGCTAGTGCTACTTATACTGAGTGATCCTCTTAACATGATTTTATATAAAAGCCTGAGAGAAAACATCCTCATTAGCTGGAGGCATCAAACACTGTCCAGCTGGACTGTCAAGAGTTGCTGCCTTCCCAGCTTGAATGGGAATCTATTTTAAAAATGAAATTTCATTGAACATTAATGTTTTGCCAGAAGTAAAAATTTGAGATACCTACTTTTGTTGTAAAATAATCAAAATAAATAGATTTGGCTTTCTCTTGGGTGACTGTACCAGTCCTCTTTGTTGGCTTATCTGCTTACTTTCTGAAATTGTGGGAACTGAATTAATGCTGGTGAAGGCAAGCCCTCAGCTAAAACCAAATAAAGTGTAAAGGTTATCTCTTCTTTCATCAGCCTCAACGTTTCAGGGAAGGATCTTTGAAAGCATTTTGAGAATTAATTTCCCAGAGTCTGATTAAATGCAGAGTTTTGATGCAGGAATCCATGCCAGTTTCAGATTTTCTACATTTACACAGGGTATCAACCATTCCCAGAGGGGTTAGTGTTCATATAGAGGGGTGCACAAACACACAAAAACAGACAGAAAAGCTGAACAAACTTTTCCCTAGATTAATGTAGAGAGATGCAAATCCAGGCTTGCTCTGCAATGGGTGCAGGAATCTAGCACGTATACCTCTGAGGTTGTACCCAGATGAGGCCAGCTCTTGCTCTTAGCAGTCTGAAATATTGCAGAGGTACTGGATAAACCATGTTGGTTATGGTTGAATGAATTCAAGTTTAGAAAGAATAAACAGGTAACTGATGCTCATCAGGAACTATATTTTTCTTTCCTTCCACTTTTATTTGAAGAGAACTGTATTTTCCCTCATTTTTTCCCCACCTCTCTGTGGATTATCTGGCATCCTCCCATGTAGGCATACTTTTCTTGAGTCAGGAGAGTCACCAGGGGTTGTATCTACATCCTACAATTCTCATATGTTCAGTTGCACATTTGCAGACGGTAATGGTCTTCTGCCTTGGCAGGTCCAGCTCCCTACATAGAGAAAGCAGCATCACTGCTCCAGAAACCCAATGTGCAAACAAATCTGACCCATGCATTGAAAGGTATGGAGTCAGGGGACCAGGCCTGTCTTTGCTGTTGCCTCACACATCTTATATTCTCCTGCATGTCCCTGACTAATTCCCTATTTGAAGGCATTACAAATGCCCCTTTTTTGGCTAGTGAAAACAGAGGGAGCTGAATTCAGAAGCCAACATAATCATGCTATTTCTGCATTTACCCACCACAGTGGGCAGGCTCAGATACAAGTGCTAAAGCTACTAACAAGTTTTTTTTTCTTCCTGACTAGGATTGCTCCAGCTTATGAAGAACAAACCTCTTCCACCAGTGATAGTCACCATGAGAGCTTGGGAGCCCCAGGACACAATGAACCTAACCCAATGGCAGCGAGGTACAATGGGACTATCCCCTTGCTTGTCATCAACAGCTCTGAAGTCTTCATCCTTTGCAACTCCTGTTTCTTAATATAGCCCTGGCTGAAGTCCTGGACCCATGTAAATTCATACAGTGTACGCTAATCAAATTATATTGACAAAAGGAATAACAGGGCTAGGATTTCACCCCAAATATGCTTGTTCATATTTAATATCAGGTATCAAATTAGCTTAGAGCTTGGCTGAATCTTGCAGCCATTCATTGTGCTGGAAATTCAGCTGTTATGCAGTGAAGAAATAGTATAGAGCTCTGCCGTTCCCCCTAATATTAACAACCCATTAATAGCATGTTGTCCCAGGTTTTCCTTCTTGCCAATAGAAGGAGAGGCATGATCCAGCCCTCTGCAATTTCTTAATAATTGTGTGAGCTGGTCATAGCAAATACATTCATTGGCTTTATGGTCAAATTGGCTCTAATTTGTTAGCAGGTCTAACTTCATCTCTAAAGAGAGTGCTCTCAGTGCATATGAGACCCAGCATCCCATGCCACTGTATGTGGACCGCCAGCCTTATAACACCAGTGCGTCAGCACCCAGTCACAGGATGCCATCCTATTTAGCCAGCCAAGTATTCAGCACCCAGAGGTAAGAGTTTTGGGACAGGGGATGCAGAGACATAAGTGAAAGCTGCTGGCACAGAAATGTCTGACAGGAACTCTGGTCCAGGTTGCAGAATCATTGCATAAAGAAGTGAGAACAGGCTGTGGATTTTATTCCTAGGGGAAGCAACAGGATGGCCAGCTGTCAAAACACATGCAACAAGATCCACTTTGGACCCAAAGGGCTGCGCACAGGATTTAGGAGATCTGTATTGATAATTGCTCTGCTTGCAGACCTGACAGATGTGTAGAAACCACATCTGCTTCTCTTCTGTAACTGCAGAAATAGTGATTTGGGAGAGGTCTAAGTTTTTTGTTTCTCATGACCCTCAATGCCATAAGAGGCATGACAAGTCATATACTTATAATGACTCTATGCACCTACATTTGTGTGCTCTGAGTGTAGCCTTTCACCTCTTTTACCATCTTTCACAGATTCTGGTGTAACAAAGCTCTCATTTGCATTTGAGGGCATTTGTGGACTAGGACTAGAAAAAATGGGACAGACTTGTATTATTCCTTATTGCCTCTCATCACCAGCACGGCACTACGTGATGCTGACATGTCTCTTTGCAGTGCTAAAGACAAAAAAAAAAAAAAGAAAGAAAGAAAGAAAAAAGGTCCTCCCCTTTGGTTTATATCACAGACCAAGCACGTGTCTTGCCCAGGGCAGGGTTTTCTTGTCTTATGATGAGCTTAGCTGACCCCTCTTTCTCACTTTATTGCAGCTTTCTGGTGTTTTTCAGCATTGTTTAATATTAAGTTATACAGTAGCCTGAAGCTCTGACCAGGATCAAAGTCCTAAAGTACAATGTAAACATAATCGGTGCCCCAGAGCACTTGCAAGAAAAGAATGACTGTTACAGTGCGTTTTTGCTACTGAAAGAACTGCCCGCAGATTAAAGCCGTTCAGATAATGAGTTCTGTCTTGGAGAAGTGAAAATGTGCAGGTCTGATACCCAGACTGGCCAAATGGTCAACAGTTCAGTCTTGCAGATGTCACAGTGGTGATTTTGGTGAGCACGAGGAAAGGAAACAGTATTTAGGATGCATCCATTTATGGACTGCTCTGGCTTTATCCTCAAGCATTAGGTTTTGGGTCTGCTTTCCTAACCTCAGAGCTTCTGCTGCAGAATCAGCAAAGGTCAAATGGGGAGAGCAGAGGGAGAACTGCATGATACTGACTGCTGAGACAAAATGTTAATAAGCCAATGTGAGGACTCCAGCGATTCCTGGTATGATGTAATCAAGGCTTTGTGCTTCCTTGCCAGACCTACCCTGGATTACAAAGGGACAGTTTATGATGAGAGAAGCAGCCCTAGCCACAGCAGATATGACAGCGCTAGTGCCAGGGGGCACTGTGAATTTAACCCCTCCGCTGGAAGGTAAGGAGTCAGAAGGGGGGAATCCAAACTTGTTAACTCGAATATCACCATGCTGTTAAATTTGTTCAATATCTGGAGTATCCTGACCCATTTCTTACCAACTCCTTGGGTCTAAGCATGCTCAGTGAGCTCCTGTTTGCATGGATGGCTGTGGTGCATGGATGATTTTGATGCCAAACAGGGAGAAATGCAGCCAGGATTCTCACCTCTTGTGAGAATCCTTCATGTGCTCAAGTTCATTGCTTGAGATTGTATCACTTCCTTTCCTAGCCACTACTCCCTTTCCAGAGATACCACCATGCCCATTTCCCAGAGAAGCCACAGAGTGCCGTTCTACATGGACAGCTCAGACTTTAACAGCACCAGGTAAATGGATAGTCTCAATGATTGTGAGCGAAATCTCCACAAAACTGCCGTGGAAGAGGAGCTATGAAACAGAGCCAAGGGATAAAAGAAAGATGCAGGGGTTCCCAGGGTGTATATTTGTGATTTGGATGTGCAGAACTACTTTTAAACAGTATTGTCCTGAGCAAAAGCTACCCAGCAGAGGATGTGTGATACGCCCATCGCTGGATGCTGGAGATTCTCCATCATGTGAGTGCCAGAACAGAGTGCAAGGAGGTTGAATAGCTCATTCCTGGCTACCCTCCCTTAACGAGAAATCGGCCTTTATAGGAACTACAGAAAAAGAGAGCTAAAAGCATAGAGAGATGTCGAGGGAAAAAATCACTGTCTCCAGAAAGCCAATGATTAAATGACTGAACCGGTTCCAAAACAAAGCTGCTGGAAGAGACAGGAGTACCTGTGGTTAGAGCAGGTAGTGTAGCATGTAGGTAGTGTAGGTAGAGTTCATATAAGCAAGAACAGGAGGTGGGAGATCCTTGGAGAGCCTAGGGTTGGCCCCCGGCAAGATCAGCTTCATCCCTTCAAGGCACACAGAACGGGTCTTGGTGGTTAGCTGTCTTCTGATGACAGCTTAGTAGCCATAGTTTTGCCGCCTTGTTTCCACTGTGGCTTTTTGCAGTGATTAAGCTGGGGATAGTTATGTTGGACCTTGGCCAGTGAGTCCCCATCTCCTCCTCTCCTGCAGTGTGTTGTGTGCCATTTTTGTCCAGAGCTGCACCCATTCAGGCTACGTGATTCACTTAAAGTCTGTGCTCATTTGAAGATCTTGTTTGATTTTTTTTTTTTCCTGTGGCACCAAAGTGAGACTTTTCCAAATCACTTTTATAGGGAAGAAGTACTGATATGTGGCAGGTTTAAAAAGAGAAAGGAGCCTCTTGGGCTTGTGATAAAGGTGAACTAATCTGTGTGGTAAAGATGTTAATATTGCACCCTCCCAAACTTCCCTTCTAACAGTAGTGGTAGGTCTTTCCTTGGCAGCCAGCTTGGATTATGTCATGACTCATGTTCACAACGTCCATAGACTTTTCTCTCTTTCTCTCCAGGCTTCTCTCCAGTTCAAGTGAGAGGATCTCCACTCCAGCTGCCACCTTGCAGTATAACAGCCCAGCGGCTTCTGGGTATGGGCCTGACTCCGGCGCTACCGGGTAAAGAGCAGTGGGTAGTTAACGATTGTCCCACTGTAATATGCATTTTGCATGCAGCCATCCTGTTTGGTGAGGGAGTTCAGCAGTGTGAACATCAGCCAGGCTTGCTGCCTGGCAGCTGGGACTCAGGACATTACTCAGTCTGTTCTAGCTAATAGCACAGACATTGCCATGGTGGCCTAGGCAACCCAAAAGGGATAATAGACAAACTGGGTGTTTCTCTGCAGGCACTCTTTTCAGAGCTGGAAAGAGCCCTGTCTCATTTGTCAAAAAACAGAGAGGGTTTGGGGTCCTTGGGCGCTCCTCATGATGGTAAGCATGCGGAAATGAGAGGGTGAACGCTAGGATCTGTCTCATTGTGTAAGCTGTGCTTTTGCTCTAGTGTGGCTGAATCATGAGCCCTCTGTTATGCATTGTATCTGGAGGAACATGATGGAGCTTCTCATGCCGTACACACTCATCACAGGTGTGGGGCTCTTGGAAGACTCTGTTAATGCCATGCTGTGCCCAAGATAAACTCTTTGCCTTGTGGTCAATGATGAGCAAGGGAGCAATTTACAGCAAGCCCATCAGAGCTCTTTGGGGCCAGCACAGGACCCCGATCCGTAGTGTATGACAGAGGATAGTGTCCTGTTATGGTGCAGCTGTCAACTCAGTGTTGTATTCTGGGCTCTGTAGTTTCCACGGGCTTCACCATAAAGATGGAAACTACTGACATCTGTACAGTTTTACACAAATTAAGGACAGGTTTCAGACTTCTGCGAGGTCAGCACATACAAGGAATATCAACAACAAGGAATATGTAGGTCCTCGTAGCCTTGCCGCGGCCTGTTTATCACAATGCCTGTCTAAGCAGGGAACTCTCTTCTGAAACACTTGCCATGGGAAGTGTCTGTGCTAAGTAAAAAAAAGCTCTCTTTTTGTTCCCTTAGCTGGAACATGGCTTAATTTGCTCATATAAGAAGAAGGGATTAGTCACAGCTTAAAGGCAGCAGTGAAAATGAACCACGGAGAAAGAGCCTGATTAGTTCATTTTATAGCTCTGCAAAGAGAGTCAGCGGGCACAGTGTCTCCTCTCGATCTGTCACAGAGCTCTAGACAGACTGACAGATGGGGGCATGTCATTTTGGAATCAGAATTTCAAAAAAGGAGGAATATGCAAGGAAGGACAGTTCTGTAAAGAAAAAAACACCCCACAGACAGACTAGCAAATTGTAGCGCATGAAAATACTGAAGATATTCCAATGACAAAGCATTCACTGTAAGTAGTGCTGTGCCAGTAGGTTTTTAATGTTAAAGGACAGAACCACAAGCTCTCTCGATACTTGCTGTATGCATAATCCTGAGATGATCTGAAAAAGACATTTATTCTTGCAAAGCAGAGGATAACTGGATGAGAGTGTTACATTATCTATCCCATCCTTTTTGATTAACGTGATTTGTTTTGATGGGCTAATTAGAGGGGTATATTAGGTGCTATTTAGCATCAATGCTTGAAATCTGGTATTTACTTAAGAATAACAGGATCTTGCTCTGTGCCTTTTCATGCACAACATTTATGTGTCCAAGTGCACACATGTGGTCCCTTGTGCTGTCTCTCATTAGTTTCAGTCTTTTCTAATGCAAATGCTTCTTGTTCTCTTTCTGTCTATTCCTAGAAAAGGGGTCCTCTTTGTGAAGGAGTACGTGAACAGCAGCGAGTTATCGTCCTCCCCACGCTATGGCAGGTATGAGGAGCCTGTGGTCAAATCCTGCAGCAGGGGTGCAGAGGCAGTCGCGTGTCTACGTGTGTGTGCAAAGAGCAGTGTATGGCTCTGCCGGCTGACACGCACCAAGCAAGCTCCAGAGCTGGAACCATTAGCGCTGCGTCAACATGGCATCATGCCTGAGCTAATTAGCCCTGGAGGGATTATTGCACTGGGTGGGCGCAGAGTTTTGCTAAGACAGCACTGCTACTTTGGGAACCCAAATGGATATTTCCAGAGTGCTGCACTGTGCTGTCTAGTACTGTTGCAGTAACAGGAGAACCTCTGTCCCACAACCCCTCATGGGGTAGACTCCTCCTGCAAGTGGGTCAGCCTGTGAGGCGGATGAGGGGATGAAAACACTGCGTATTTGACACTGTCAGGCCTCACTGCACATTTGCACAAACGCAGAAGATTGGAACTGATGAGAAAAATGTAGAGTTTGTGAGTTCTCACTGAAAAGACGAGCCATTTATGAGTAAAAAAGATGTTAAAAAGATGCCATTCTCAAACTAAAATTTCCAGCCTTTTATATTTTACTCAGTCAAAAGTAAATCAATAAAGCTACTCCAGATTCACACCGATGTGACTGAGAACAGAACATGGCCCTGTGTACTTCCTGCTTACATTGATGTGACAGCTAGTTAACACCCGGTTACGATGCCTCCCTGCTGGGATTTATCCTCCCTCAATGCTGTGTTGGTATTACCATGGAAGGTGATTACAGGCTCCATAAATCTCTAGCCTTTCCTGTGAGTCTGCAAAGCAGGTCTTGCCAACCAAAGATACGCGTATCGCTGCACAGACTAAGAAACACTTGCAAACAGAAGGGGGAAAAGGAACGCTCGACTAGGTGAGACTCGGGATGTGTTTCTTCTCCTGCAGAGTAGCCTAGGATTTGGGGTTTTATGCGTTAGTAAACAGTACAAATAGTAACTGTTTACAGGTCCATGGGTAACATCAGGGCTCCACTGAGGCTGGAGAGTCTTTACTGATGAGTGTACTGGAGGCGAGACATCGAAGCTCGTCTGTCCAGCAGCCAGTGCAGGATTTTTACACCTCTTGTCTAGTAGCTGGTATAAGATATGTTAGTCCTTGTAGTCTGGGTCACAGACTGTGCCTGTCCCAAGTGCAGACCTGCTGGACAAGCCCAAAGGCAGCTGAGCCAAGGCAGCAGTGGCTCTCACTGAGAGGGAACCCTTGCTTCCCCTCCTCCTCTCCTGCTTCCCCTCTTTCTTTCGCTGCTCCCAGACAGTCCAGTCCCCTCTTTTCTGCCATTTTAATGAGTAAACCTGACCCGCAGAGGGGTTTGATGGATGGCAAGAAGTAAGTGGGTGGAAGCATGTGGCTGGGAGGACGGAGAGGGTAAGGAGGAGCAATCTCTTTCCTTTTGCTTTGGCAAGATGTTAGGTTTTCTCAGCCCCCTCACAAGCTGCATTGCCAGACAGTCGTGTGGGATTGAAAGCACTGACTTCCTGACACCCCCCTGCAGCGATGTGCCAAGGCTGCTCTCCTGTGCCACAGCAGCCGGCGGTGATCACTAGGACATGTCACCAGCTCCATCTGGCACAGAGGATCACGGGATGGGAGAGGCTGCAGTGCAGGGCTGCTACGTCTCCATGCCACCTCCCTCATTCTAGGGCCTAAAGGAGCTCCGTTTCAGGGTAAATCTTCTGGTTTCACAGCCAGGCTGCCCACATCCTACTTTCTGCTGTGGTGACGGGAGCAGCCAGACACGTTCTTCAGTGCTGTCACATAGGTTGTGGGGCCAGCAGCTCTTGGCTGCCCCTTTCTCCAAGTACCTGTTCCTTGCAAACCTTATCTGCCAGGCTGAGCTCCGAGCGGGCCATAGGACCTGTTTCCTCCTCCCAGGTCTGAGAGCAGTTCTGTGGGTTGGGCCTGAGGCACAGAGATGGCGGTATGGGGCTGGGAGCGGGATACTGCCACTCTTACGCAGCAGAATCTGCATTGTCAATACAGCCAAGATTAGCAAGTGCTGCTGCTGACAGCCCAGGTCTGTCAATCAGTGTAGCTCTGACTTTTAGGGATATGCCTTTTCAGAGCTAACTGGGAAGGACTGACCTTCTCTCCAAGAAACAGCAGCTGGGACATTGCAAAGAAGCACTGTGACCCAGTTAGGACTTTAGGTTATCATAGTCTAATGATTAATGTTTCCACACGCAACGCTCTTC